TTCTGATCAGGTGGTCAATGTCCTCCTGTGGTATCTCATTCCAGGCAACCACCAACTCCTCTCGAAGTGCTTCTAGAGTCTGAGGAGGACGTTGCAAATTGAACAATCTCCTACCCATCATATCCCACACGTGCTCAACTGGGGATAAGTCGGGCGATCTTGGTGGCCATGGTAACAATGTGACATCATTATGTTGAAAGAAGTCTATTGTGACTCTTGCAACATGTGGTCGGGCATTATCTTGTTGGAAAGTTGGATCTGCCAGGGTGTCAAGATAGGGTAAAAGATGGGGTTCTAGAATTTCGTGGATATAACGCTGCGCGTTCATGTTACCTCTGATGAAGATTAAAGGTGACCTGGAACCATAAGCTATAGCACCCCAAACCATAACTCAAACAGTGTGATGAACATGTCTTTCAACAAAAAACTGTGGATTCCTCCTTTCACCACGTCGCCTTCTAACCCTGGCACGACCATCGTGCATGCCTAAACAAAATCGAGACTCGTCGCTAAAGACAATACTGTTCCATTCCTGATCCCAGAGTGACCGTTGTCTGCACCACTCAAGGCGATTACGTCGGTGTTCTCGAGTTAAAGGGAGGACCCAGTGTGGCCGGTATGAAAACAAGCCAAAACTTCTCATTCGTCGGTAAACACTTCGCATGCCAATAGGTCTTCCGTGTTCTGCAAACCATTCATTTGCAATGGACCTGGTAGTGGAGAAACGGTCCCTTAAGGCCAATAATCTTAGGCGGCGATCTTCACGATCTGTTGTTCTACGGCGGCGTCCAGTGCCCCTTGCTCTTTGCGTACGGCCTTCTCGAAGCCATGCCTGACAACACCTAACCACAGTATCTACACTTCTTTGTACTCTAACTGCAATTGCCCGAAAAGAAAGTCCAGCTTCCCGAAGTCCCACTATACGGCCCCTATCAAACTCACTAAGTTGACGAAATCGTACAGGTCTCCGTACTCTAGGCATCGTAACCGATCGTAAAGGATGTCAAGAACCAAAATCCGCCAACGTTGATTCTTTACTGCGGCTGAAATATTCATTTTTAGAGCGTTAGTGAATTAAAAAAAGCAGTATAAAAACCGGAATGTCCAACTGATAAGGCTGAAAATTTTTTCACTTGTTATTTACAGTAAGATAAATACATTCACCAACTTTTATTAAAATAAAACCATTTAAACTGGGTGTTCGGATTTATATGTCACTTAGTATAATATACTGAAATGAGGTGGAGCGCCGTCATGCATAACATAAACTACATATTCATGCTTGTCTGTCGTGGAAGATCTTCCAGCAGAGTGGGTAATTGTTCTTCAAGAAATTGTAAATACCTTAAATACCCTTGGCCATTTGGTCTAGCCGGTAACTCAAAGGGTTCTATTAAATATTGTCCAATTATTCCTGCCCATAAATTAATTTGAAATTGTACTTGGTGGGGGGTTTGTATTATTGCATGAGGATTTTCGTCTGCATAAATGTGAAGATTATGCGAGTTAATAGGCCCATCCCTTCCAAATGCTGCTTCGTCCGAAAATAATATTAACCAAGTAAAACCATTGTCGTGGTTAGACTTCCTTAAGATCCATGTACAAAATTCTACCCTTGCGGGATCATCATCCGCGCTTAAACCATGTACGTTTTGCAGGTGGTATGGATGGAGCAGTTGCTCTTGAAAAATGGTATTTGCTGTACATTTGGGAACTTGAAATTCTCGAGCTACATTCCTAACCCCAACTGTAGGATTTTCAAAGACAGCATCTAAAACACTTTCTTCAACTTCAGCTGTACGTACAGTTCTGGGAGCTCCACTATGTCGGCCCATATTTTGAGCAAAGCTACGTAAAATCCAAAAGGTTTTTACTACTCATTTCTTACCATTTTCTCGTAACTGCTGATTGATTCATTCGAAAGTCTTTGAATTAGGCAGGGAATCTGTAAGCGTGCAATCTTCGTGCTTTTAAACCATTACATCTTGCTAATCCCTACATTAAATGCATATCAGAATACTCATCAAACGTATACTCCATGATGTTTAACAACTTATTGTCAACTTAAAATTACCCCTGAAGTTTAAAGCAATATTATGACAAACATCAGAAAGCATGGCAACGCTACTCAGATATTATCCAAAGCAACTTGATTTTTGTGTTATAAAAATGTTTTATCATCATGGTACAAATAATGCATTGAAACCTTTAAAAACAAATATCTCGAAAACTATCAGCTTTAGACACTGCTAACAAGTGAACTTTTTTGTTGTGGAAATACGAAAAAATAAGATCTTTCAGTCAGTTGTTATATACAGGGGAGCAGAAAAAAGTTATGATACGTTATTTACCGAAATAGTGCTGTAAGTGCCGCCCTCTAAAAATTTGACCATATAAAATAACGAATTCTTGTTTCTCATACCTGTACCGAGTTTTATGCTAGAGTATGTAGTACTTCTCAAGCAATAATGAAAAATAGATAATTAAATTGTAACTTGGACCCCCTGTATCTCACAAACTATCAACTTTTGGACTGAGGTATGTTTAGATAAATTCACATATTTTGGTCTGTAGTATCTCCAGTTTCGAGATTTCCCAACCCTTCGCAGATACCCTGTATATAAAGTATACTTTTGCTTACTTCCGTTGCTTTTTGGCCTTTATAATAATAAATATACATTGAATTTTAAAACCAGGAATAATTTTGTGAGACGCTAGTCTTTCTTATACACTCTTACTGCTGTGTAGTTTATTACTCGTGTCTTGATGCTGGCACTAAGAACAGGTTGCAAAAACTGCAAAATAGTTCTTGTAGATTTTCTTTGAGTTTAAAGATTTATGATTATACAGGGTGGCGCATCGAAAACGAAACAGACGCATTTACTGGCAGCTCAGTTTTTTTTGGAAAAACGCTCAGACCCGTCGATTTTGTTTCCGAGGGGGACACAAGTTTGGCAAAAAGCAGCCTTAAGCGGGGGTGACACCACCCCCAAAATCTTAAATGGAAAGGGGGGTCGAGTGATACCTTATTTTATAGGTCTTTCAATTCCCTTTATAATGATATAAAATTAACTCTTTCAGGCACAAGATTTTTCCCATTTTCTAGTCCCATGTTGCACAGAATATAAAAGTTCGGATTTCTTAAATTATTTCAATCAGATTCAAAATAATTAATGAAAATTTGAAGATTCTTGTATATATTTTTTCAAATTAAATGTCAGTTTGGCAGATAATTGGTGGTACGACATATGTACCACCGTGCAACTTGAACTAAGGGTAGAAGGCAATTATGAAAAATAAAAAGTTTATTCAACAGAATACTAGAAGTATTTTATTAATTTATATTAGTATCTACTTTGTTTTGTGATATTCTTGAAAACAGTCTTTGGATTTGCTTAAGCATAACGGAACTTTACACACTGTACAACACCATTCAGTACGAACTTGGTGGATCCTGGTACTACATCTGGCACATCTTCGTCTTGTAGACCTTACAGGCTGATTATCTGATGACGTGAAACGCACTTCGTCTGGTACTGCTCTTTTTATTTTCTTGAAAGGTGCTTCCGAATGTGTTTCATAATCTGCACTAATTTGGACGTATCGTTCTCCTAATAATCCATCAACAACTCTTCGGCAAAAATCTTTCAAGGGTAATTTTTTTAGACCTCTCAGCCGATAGAGAATGAATGGATTTACGACGCAGCAATCAATGACATGGAAAAAAATTCTCATCCACCATTTCTTACTTTTACGATCTAGCTCATAAGATGATTTCATTTGGTCGAAACGGTCCACAAAGCTCATGTTACTATTGTAGTCCACCAGTACCATAGGACAAGGAACAGGGGTTTTAGTACCATCCTTTTGTTTTCGTTGGACAGTGCTTCTTACGGTTGGATCATGATAATTGGTCAAAATATGGACTGCTCTTTTGTCTTTCCATTTCAATAAACTGATCCCATCAGTACTTATCGAATAATCATATTCACCTTGCTTCAGACGTTTATCTTCAATCATTTTTGGAAGATGTTTTCTGTTCGACTGAACTGTCCCACATGCATGAATCCCCCTTTCTTTGAGAATTTTCAATAACCCATACGAGGTGAAAAAGTTATCAAAGAAGAGTAAGTGATTTTTTTGTTGGAAATTCTCGGTAAGTCCAAGTATCACCTTTTCCCCTAAAGAATGTTCCACGTAGACATCGCTTTTGCCGGTATAAACATCAAAGTCATATAAATATGCATTTGCGTCAGCCAAAGTCCAGATTTTGTAGCCTGGTTTTATCGGCTTTTTCGGCATATATTGCTTCAACGTACTTCGCCCCTTGAATTTTATCATTGATTCATCGATTGCGATGTTTTTTGTATAATTATAATATTTTTTGAAATTCTCCTTAATTTTATCTATGAAGGGCCTGACTTTATATAGTTTATCGAATCCTGCATCCCCTTTTTTTGCCATCACGCTATTGTCATTGAGGTGAACGTGGCTAAGCAACCAACCGAACCTATTTACAGGCATAAACTGAGAAATGTAATTATCGTACATGTCTTCATCGACACTCCAGTAGTCTCTATAACTAGGTAGTGGTTTGATTCCCATAAGCATATTAAGACCAAGGAAAACCTTCATTTCTTTTGTATTTGTAGGATTATATTTTTTGGTATTTTTTTGAAACTCTTGTTCAGCATACAGGTTTGTTTGAAAAACAATGTCTTCTATAAGCTCGTCAGTTATGAACAGATTAAAAAAGAAGTAAGGCGACAACAGGTGATCTTCCTTTTGTAACAACTGAAGACATAAACCTTGATTCTCAGTAAACGGCTGAGCCGGGTTTAGTAGACGTAAATTTTGAGAAGACCATGAAACTTTGGGTGGTTGATTATATGGCTTTTGTAAATATCTTGAAAGAGGGACGTCATCATCGCTGGAGTTATCAACAGTACTGATCATAAATCATTCGGCTATATTTCATAGAAATCATTTTCGTTGTCGGACTATTCTGAAATAATCGATTCCTGATCACTTGGAACTTTATCTATCATTTCTATTTCATCGTACAACTCTTCTACGGTCGTATCTACCAATTGAAAGTCCAGAGGGTACTTACTACTGCCGACGAAAGCCATGGCCTGAAAAAAGAAAAAGCCCTTATTGCATAGTGGTACAATTACGGACTCATTATAATTATGTATTTTTTCAAACCTAATCCCTAATTTTTATTGCACTTATGTTTTTTGCATAAATATATACATAACAAAACACAAATAGTATAATACTGAATATCCCGAAATACTTACTTTTTCAATATCAAAACACCACTAAATATTTGTAGTCAAAAACACGTGTTTCTTGCAACATCTAATGCGATTCACGAGTCAAGACAGGAAATATGTACGCAGTATAGGCAAAATCCACATCCTTATTCATTAAATACATGGTAGGGATATGTGGTACAGAAAATACGTCGCTGTGCCGAACAGCAACATGAATTTGAAAGGTGGTTTATTTTATGTACCACCGTGCATCTTTCAGCTATTTATTTGTGGTGCGATTTATGTACCACACTGCCGAAAAGAGTTAATGTACTTCAGTTCAGTAGTTTTGAAGATTTATTGATCTAAAGCTTAAATAAAACTAATACATCATCATTAGTGATTATCAATACACTTTGCAGCAAAGTAATTTAAAAATGAAGAATGAACTGACCCGTTAGGCAAGTAAATGTTGAAAATGGCCACCATGACTCTGCATGCAATAATAAAGATTTTGCTCAAAACGTTGCCGCACATTTTGCAATATTTGAGGAGTAATTTCATTCACAATTCTTTGTCGCAGGTCTCCTAATGATGTTGGCTAAGTAGCATAGATTTTGCTTTTCAAATGACCCCACATAAAGAATCCAAAGGTGATAATTCTGGCGATCTTGGGGACCATTCAGTGGCACCTCTTCTACCAAAATACATTTCACCGGTCAAATTTCTAGCTAAGAAAAGAGGACCAACTAAATGATCGCAAAAAATACCAGCCCAAGCATTTAATTTTTGTGGCTGCTGTGTATCAACCTCATGATAAATTCTGGGATTAGAATCGGACCAATATCGGCAGTTATGACGATATACTACGAAGTTTAAGAAAAGGAACATTCGTCGGAAAAGCAAATGTTGAATAGAAAATGTTCATCGTTTATAATTCGTTCACTCATATCTTCACAAAATTGTAATCGCCGATTAAAATCGCCTTCATTAAGTTCTTGTACCAGGTGAATTTTATACGGATGAAAACTATGGGTCTTCAGAATCCGTTGGACAGTACGTCGACTAACACCACACACAGTCTCCAATTTGCGGGTACTTAACGTAGGATATACATAGACTTGCCCTAAAACCCCCACTTCTATTGGTTCGCTCCTTATTGGAGTTTCAATGATGCGTTTTTTATTGGCGACTGACCCAGTTTTCCGAAATTTAGCTACAAGCTCTAGAACATATTTTCGATGCACGTTACTGTTCTCATGTCGCTCACTAAATATTTCTGCTGTTCTTTTAGCGCACTGATTATTTCCAAAAAATATTTCATTAATTTCAACTCTTTCTGCTGTGGAATATACCATGGTTAATTTATGTAATAAAGCGTTACAAGTTATTTTAGCAACAATGTTTGGTCAAATCAATCGCAAACTATGTACTAAATTCCTATTTAAAATAAGTACGAGATATTTCCTTATCTGTCTTCAAGAAATAACTTTATTGCCACAAAAAAACGGTCCAATAGCTATTTTCAACAACAAATTGATAAACAAACCAATGGCGTAGTGAAGAAAAGCATTTACTTATTAAGTAAATTCTTTTAGTCAAATTTCTTCTGAAAACTAATCTGATGTACCTATTAAAGTCTACTTTAAGCTTTAAATCAATAAATCTTCAAAACTACTGAACTGAAGCTCATGTATTTTACATCATTATAAAGGGAATTGAAAGACCTTTAAAATAAGGTATCACTCGACCCCGCTTTTCATTTAAGATTTTAGGGTTGGTGTCACCCCCGCCCAGTGTTAACGTGTTAACGTGACTTTTTGCCAAACTTGTGCCCTCCTCGAAAACAAAATCGACGGGTCTGAGCGTTTTTCCAAAAAAAAAAACTGAACTGCCAGTAAATGCGTCTGATTTGTTTTTGATGTGCCACCCTGTGTTTCATGTTATATTAGTGATCTGGTTTGGTTATGTATGCTTGCTAATATCAAATGATTACTTACTCATAAAATATCAACTACACAATCATCTTCATATCTTTATAAAAAGTTTGTATCTCGCCTTAGTAGGAGCGATTTTAACTTCAGATTTAAAGATTGCTTATAAATCCCTTTTGAGAATATTACCTTTTTCTGTTGATCGTGTATTTCCAGGTATATCAAAATATACCCAGTGCCATTAGAAGTGTTACGCTTAGAAAAATTAATTGTTTGCATTTGTTTACTAATTATGACGGTGTTTTCGAATAACAACTTAGGACCTGGTACTTATACATTTTATCAATTTTCATCCATTTGAGTTCATTAATGGCATTCGATATATGATCATACTTTCTGAGACCATTTAACAAGTCTACAACATGTACTTATAATACTTTGAATACGATTTCTTGTTATAATATCTAAATAGGGATAGTAAACCACTAAGCAATACGATATATTTGAAAACAAGAAAGATTCACACAATAGCTTTCTCGCAGATTTATGTAATATAGCCTTATTTTGCAAATAATTGCAAATATTGATAGCATTTGCGCTGTAGTATTTCGATCTGCTGGTGTATGGCTGACATACTCACAGGGATGGAATCAGAGGGCAAAAGCCATAAAGATTGTGGAAGGAGAAGGATCGTAAAACCTCTCGTCCTGGAGTCAAAGAACTAGAAAGACAACAAAAGAATGGATTTCAGTACAACACTCCTTGAAATGGGATAGTATTTCTGGACTTCAAGGTGCGACTTCTCATTTTAGCTCGTTCATCGTCCTTACGAGACCTTGGAGTGCTATCTGCAGATGGTATACTGCAGTAGAACATTTAGAATTCCCACGATGTTGTTATGAAATTGAAATCAATTTCACTAGGGTCTTCGTGCTTAGCATTTATAAAAGTGTAAATAGGGCGACGAATGCCTGTATGTGTCGTTCATACGACAAGTATTCAACTGAAATGTATCCCGCCTGGCCTAAGTAGTTTAAAGGAATTGCGAAAGAGCCGATAAACGCCCATAATTATTTGATTATCAGATTATTACATGTAAGACTTCTGTCTCAAGCATTTTCTGCTGCTAAGGATTACTATTATTATCATATTTGAGACAGCTCGTATATGAAAGGTACTCATATATCTCTCCAAAGCGTAAAAGCAGACAATATGCGTGCGAATTCTCAGTAACTAAAGAAAAAACAGCAAAGCAAACAATACCTTTCACCCTTCCAAGAAACTATATAGCAAAAATAGACCCTACCAACAGCAGCCCAGATGTGCGTCATTGCATAAAAATTGACACCGCTGCGCCTGAAGAAAGGCTGTCCACCTCTATGCAAATTCGCACCCTAACTTGTCTAGCAGGCTGATTTTTCATCAAAATAGAAAAGGGTTGCGCGAATATGGGGCTTGTCGGATGATTAATTTGGTCGCGGTGGACGATGGTCACTGACCAGTTGCTAGCTTTGACAGTGGTGTAACAGAAAGGGTTGTTAAACTGAAGATGGAAGGCACATAAAGGATAACGGTAAAATTATATATTTTTGGACTTTTGACATTGAACACCATATTATAAAGCAATTATGAATGAAATTTCTATTGGCTTATACATCATCTACCTGAAATAACAACTATTATAGGGATAATAATAAATACTCAACGGATATGCGATGAATTTGTACAATTCTTTACTGACATAGGCGAAAATTTAGCAAGTAATATACAAGCAAATGTACAAAATACTCAGCCTCCAAAAAGAACTTTGAACTCATTTATGTTGGATAAAGTCGAGCAATATGAAGTATACACCACTGTTATGTCCTTAAAGAATCGGAAAAGTCCTGGGTTCGATGGTATTAAAAGCGAGCATTTGAAAATTATAGCCGAGGACATAACAGAACCACTCACTTACTTAATCAACAAATGCTTTGAATCTGGCATATATCCCTCAATTTTAAAAAAAGGTAATATAATACCGATACATAAATCAGGAACAAAAACAGATGTTAACAACTATAGACCAATATCAATAATATCCAGTGTAGCAAAGGTTTTTGAAAAAGTTTTATCTACTAGAATGATTCGATACCTCACAAAATTCAAAATTTTAAGTGAAAATCAATATGGATTTACAGAAGGGAAGGCTACATCGGACGCATTAACTAAAATTGTAAATCAAATACAACAAAATGTTGATAACAGAATCCCTTCAATCTGCATTTTTGTTGATTTAAAGAAAGCTTTCGACACAGTTAATCACAAATTGTTATTAGAAGCATTGGAGAGAATTGGTTTCAGAGGAAACGTGTACTCACTAATCGAAAGTTATTTGTCAAATCGCCCACAATCTGTGCAGATATCAGGATCATTTAGTAAAGAAATGTATATTAAGTGTGGTGTCCCACAAGGAGCTGTCTTAGGTCCGCTGTTATTCAATATATATTTAAATGATATTTTCCAAATTAATTGTGTTGGCAAAATAACTAGTTTTGCATACTGCAATATTATATGAAGGCACTGACAGGTCTGATCTGAAAAATGTAATTGAAAATGATTTTATCAAAATTATTCGGTGGTTTAACAGTAGAAAATTAAGCATTAACTACTCTAAAACACATTTTTTACCATTTGGACCTTATGCTAGACCTCTGCCAAATTACACAAATTTCTCCTTCAATATTAATGATCAAAAAATGCAAATTAATAGAGTGCCCAACATAAAATACCTTGGAGTCGTCTTGGATCCTCACTTACGATGGGACATCCATGTCAATTATATTTTAAAGAAAGTTAGATTTGTATCCTACAAAATTAAATACGTTGGGAATATATTGACAGAAAAATATCTTCGAACATTATACCATGCACTGATTGAGCCTCATCTCACATATGGTATAT